GGGGTGGTCATGGTGCCCCAGTGGTCATGGTTCCCCACCCTCCCTTACTTGGAAATAGAGTATTCTAGTCGTCACCGATCAAAGAACAAGAAGAAGAACAAAGCCGGCGAACTGGCCCCGGCAACATAACCTCCCAGACTTCTCTGAGTGGGCTAGTTTCTGAGTTTTTGTGTCGAATCTCTTTCAAAAGGGTGATTCCGCGCGTAGAGGGCGCTTTCGTGTCCACACCCTCCCCAGAGCGAACTTATTCGAGTGCAGTCCATTTATACACTTAAGAATCTTGTTTGGCACTAGAATAGCTTGTTCCCTTTGACTATGGACTTTCAAAGCTAACATGTGACGCTGGAGAGGGGCCAAAAGTGTCGATTTTGTAAGTTCCGTCATGTCCATTTGCACCTTACACCGACTTTGCGGCTCTATAACCCTTCGTTCCATTCAAATCTTCGAATTTCACACACACCCATCGAATCTCTAACTAATAGTGACTATCTTGTTTGAATTTAAAGGTCGTATATTGATTGAAACTGTATTTTCAGAACGTGTACTAAATGTCCACCGTACTCCGACTTTTACCTAAGCGGTTTCAAAGTAAGCACCAAATAACCTACTAGGAGTGCTCCCTGCTCAAAACCACCGCCGTATTTAGAGAGAGAGAGAGAGAGAGAGAGAGAGAGAGAGAGAGAGAGACTCTCAGTAACGGCTTTGCGCAGCGCGTATGTAGCCCGGACACGTTCTTTACTGGCTGGCTGTGCTCCGCCGTATTTAGAATCTGCACGGTCTGTTTACCATGTGAACGAGTTTGTGTGGCGAAAAAGTGAGGGGGGTGAGTGTGCGAGTGGAAGTTGTGTGTGAAATCGGTGGGTTGTAACAATTGGTGTAATTTCCGTATGCCCCTCTCGCTCCTCGTCTATTGGGTTTTGAAAGACGTCCTACACGTGAAAAGATGTGTCTTGACGTCGAACTAGTGTGCCAAACTTATGGCGTACACGGTAAAAACGGAACCTGGTTTTCCCAGGAAGCCAATGGTGAAGGCATAGGCGATTTCCAGGGAGTTCCTGGGAAAACCAGGTTCCGTTTTTACGGTGTATTTCTGTGGCGATATGCAGTTGCAATGAGCCAGAAACACCTGTTTGTAATTTCCGTCAAGCGTAATTTCAGTCATATTTTCAGTAAATTTCGTCATATTCTATAGGGGGAGAAAACGAAAGTCAACTTTTAGCTCGCCCACGCTCAGAGTGTCTTCCTGGGGTTCAATTGATACCATCTAGACCAAATTCCGGCCGAACAAGCAAGATTGATTACTTTACTCTCTAAGGTAGAGAAAACCGCCCCTACGCACGGAATCACCCAAAAGCACTTTCGTTTGATTCGAACACTTTTTGACTCAGGAAATAAAAATATTTGTCGACATTTCTCGTTGAAACCGGGCTTGATACCTACTCCGTTTCTTCCCGGCTTCCGGTTTTGTTCTTCTTTACGTTCTTCGATCGGCGACGACTAGAATGCTCTATTCGTTCATATGCCACGAATAAAAAGTCCATCGTATATGCACAATTTCATAGACAACATTTTCGGTACATTTCTAACAGATTTGTTGGTAAACCTGACCTGAATAAATAAAAATTTACAAGAATAATCACTGATAAAACATTTGTCGTTACTCAACGACACTTGATGCTTTTATTTTAGCGACAAGATTTGTCTTGGAATGGATAGCTTTTTGGACCACTTATTTGTCAGCGACAAGAATCGTATTGCAAATCCATTAAAATGTTATGTAATGTCTGCGACAAATATTGATCATGTACACAGAATTTTGTTACGAAAGTCCAAAATTTTGATAAAATGAGATTTTTGGCTGCGTTCTAGAACTTTTGATTTCCTGTCGACTGGTGAAAAGCATAAGTCGATATCTCTAATAGATTCAGCGTAGGAAAATACTTCAAAATGACGAAAGTCCAACTGTAAGGTAAAAAATCAATTGTGGGTCACGAATCAATTGTGGGTCATTTTTTTCGACGGGTCACCGCAGACCCGACGGAGATTGAATCGATTTGAATTTCGTGGTAGATCTTCCTCCAACCTTTCTTTGTCTTTCCAAATAGCGTGTATGTCCGAGCGATGACTGTAACGGCTCCTATCAGGCTTCAAAGGAAGGCCCTCCAAAATGTCGTGAAAATAGCGCCCATCCAACGAGGCGATAAATCGTATGTTTTTCAAATTGCCAACGTGAAGCTATTACGAGATAAAACGGGACGCCATTGCTGATTTTGGTTCATAGTAGGTCAGGGAACATAATTTTACCATAGTAGAGCCGAAATCATTCGATGCCATGGTGCGCGGGTGATGGCAAAGTAGCGTTCGCTTCCATGTCAGAACCATTATTTTAACCGAATTTTCCGGTAGTTTTTCTGCTATTTTTTTTTGTTTTCTGCGCTTCTGAATGACTGATGTATCCCAGTAAATTCCATTTTTCTGCTCTGTCACATTTAGTATTACGATACGAAGGTTATGTTAAGCTACAGCCCCGAATGACAACACTAGCTTATACTTCCAGTCTGCCATCAGGCTTTTTTGTTGGGGAGGGGGGGGCGCATTTCGGGGCTTACATAGCTCCCGGAAGGGAACCGCTCTCCAACTGCGGGCTAGGCACCCGAGGCCAGTCCGGCCCTGTTATAAGGAGTCAAATCAATCCCTACAGACTATATATTCTGACTGAAATAGATAATAAACTGTAGCAATACCTCATGATGACAGGGTGTGGTGTTGGATTGTCTACCACACCGGCGGCCCTACAATACGCACTATAAAAGTTTCGTGTCTAATCCAGGACGTTTAACTCACATCTGTCTCACAGTGAAATTAGCCTGTTTATGTATTTTTCCTCTTTGAGTGAAAAACGTGCCTGCTTGGTTTATTGAGAACCAGGGACCTTTAATAAATGAAGATAAGAAAATATCTTGCAAAAGTGGTCAATTTACAAGCAAAAAGACGAAATGGCCCACAATTGATATGACCCACAATTGATTCATTGTGCTACAGATCCTGCAGTTTTCACGATTCCGAAAAATGAATTCAGAAGTGAATTTCTCTCGTATTTAAGCAAATCATATCCAAATTTGAGCTTCCTACAATGCTGACCCACAACTGGTTCCAAAAATAAATTGTGGGCCAAAACAGACTACTTTTAAAACAGCCACAGCTAAGTAACACGGTTAGCGCGACTCCTTGAAAAACAAGGACGGTTTTTGAAAAACAAGGAAAGATGGAACACTTCAAGGAAGTTCCTTGGAAGTGTGCTCCCATTCCAAGGAGGCTCCCCTGTTTTCCAAGGCCAGTCCCTTGTTTTCTTGGACTCCAGACAAATTCCAAGGGCCCGCCTTGTTTTTGGGGTGCACTTCCAAGGGGACGCCTTGGTTGGTCTCTGCCGATTCAAGGAACCGCCTTGTTTGTCCGCAAAAGCTCGAGTTACGTCGTCGGCCACGTCATGAGGTCCCCGATGACGTCCCCCTGGGGTTCACCATGACGACCTCCATGTTTCTCCGTGCCGTTGAGGCTGCCGGGTCTCACAGTGGCCAACGCCGAAAACCGTTTTCTTCTACGTCCAGTACTTTCGGAGATACGAGGACGTACCACGAGGCCGCCGTCCAGGCGGAGGAGGAAGTGGTGATTTTTTCGAGGCCAAAGTAGCTCTGGCCACGAGCCTACTTGGTGTCCGGGACTTTTGACTTCGGAATCGGGTTAAAGGGGTGCCGGCCCACCTCGAAACCAAATTTGGTCAAGTTGCGGCCAGCCGTTTGTCCAGGATGGCGTCAAACAGCTGGATTTTTGGACCTATTTTGCTGATTGGATGATGTTTGACGCCATCCTGGACAAACGGCTGGCCGCAACTTGACCAAATTTGGTTTCGAGGTGGGCCGGCACCCCTTTAACCCGATTCCGAAGTCAAAAGTCCCGGACACCAAGTAGGCTCGTGCCCAGAGCTACTTTGGCCTCGAAAAAATCACCACTTCCTCCTCCGCCTGGACGGCGGCCTCGTGGTACGTCCTCGTATCTCCGAAAGTACTGGACGTAGAAGAAAACGGTTTTCGGCGTTGGCCACTGTGAGACCCGGCAGCCTCAACGGCACGGAGAAACATGGAGGTCGTCATGGTGAACCCCAGGGGGACGTCATCGGGGACCTCATGACGTGGCCGACGACGTAACTCGAGCTTTTGCGGACAAACAAGGCGGTTCCTTGAATCGGCAGAGACCAACCAAGGCGTCCCCTTGGAAGTGCACCCCAAAAACAAGGCGGGCCCTTGGAATTTGTCTGGAGTCCAAGAAAACAAGGGACTGGCCTTGGAAAACAAGGGAGCCTCCTTGGAATGGGAGCACACTTCCAAGGAACTTCCTTGAAGTGTTCCATCTTTCCTTGTTTTTCAAAAACCGTCCTTGTTTCTCAAGGAGTCGCGCTAACCGTGAAATAAGGATGATAGACAGGGCTACTATGCTGCAAAACTTAGGCCAAGGACCATAGTTAAAGGCCGCACATGCACTTTTGTCACCAGGTCAGAATTAAAGGCCTTAATTTTGAATTTTCAAAAATGTGACCCACAATTGATTTTTCACCTTAACCAGATTACGCTTGAAAACAGAGGGTGATACTACTCTTTAGTTTTACCAGTGTTCGTTTCTTATGACTCCATTTTTTCCTTACTGCTGACAAAATCTCTATGTAGGCACTAACACATTAGTCCCAGAAGGCCTCCATGCTTCTTACAAATAACTATTGACAGATTTGTTAGTAAGGCTAGCATTCCAAATGTCAATACGTTGTAAACAGATTTCTATCATTGAGATACCAAAAAAATTGTTCATTTATTGAATAGAAATAAGTTTTAAGTAAAAGTAAAAAGTACGGACTAAAATACCAGTACGGCTTTGAGAGTGTGCATTGTATGAAGGCTTCACATAATGTTTGAAGTGTCGGTCATCCTAAACGACTTCCCACATTACAGATATGCTTCTGAGAAACCTGTCCGGTGCCGCTTGGATGCTGGCGGTGGGCGTTGCCATGGCTGCTACCGCTGAACTTGGCCAGGGGTAAGTGAGCAACTCAATAGGCGTGAATCCCGGTGCTTCGGACCAGATTGGATACGAAGTCCTGCATTTATGCCGTGGTAAAACTGGGGGTTGGCGTAGGAACCTTCTTAATTTAAAGAAGATTCTTTGGAAATTCACTCATGAAGAATCTTCGGTTTCTATCGATAAATGTTCGTGGATCAACTGAAGTGTAAAAGCCAAAAACTTTGCGATTGCACACCGTTCCTTCAATAAATTGCCCAAGGCGGAGCTGGAATTTTGTTGGGGTATGTTAAACTGAGTGTAGGTAACATTAAGGCCAGCCAAAGAGGAAAGAAATCGTTAATGCTCAATTTCGACCACCTTCAGTAGCCCCTGAAATGCCTAACACTTACATTGTGTAGTGAAATATACACTGAAAACGTAATGGTCGGACACATAGCCAAATTATGGCGTGACAAAGAGTCACGCCTCTAATTGGCGTGACACAAAATTCACGCCGAAAAACGGCGTGACATGTGAGTCACGCCCTCATTTGGCGTGAATACGCTTTTTATGAGAAATGTCATGCCAAAAAGCGGCATGACAAGAAATTCACGCCAAAAATTTGCGTGAATTTTTGAGTCACGCGCGATTTTTGGCGTGACTTTTCTGTCATGTCGTTCAATGGCGTGACACTTCATTCACGCCCCTACAGCGGCACGAAGTCACGCCGATAGATTTTCAGTGATTTAGCTTGAATTGCGTCAGTGCCAGTTGTGTTGGTGCAGGACCTACACGGTGGTCTCGCCCAGTTCCGTGCGGCCCCACTCCGAGTACCACGTGGCCGTGGCGGTGCAGGGCGCTGACCGCGACACGTCCGTGCAGCTGGAGCTCGCCAACAGCGGCGACAACGGCCAAAACGTCACCTACACCGAGAAGGTGGTGGTTCCGGCTGGCAGCACCAAGACGGCGCGTCTCAAGGTGGGTGGTCCCACACTGCAAGGAAAGGTGTAAATAGCACAACAAAAGTTAGTTCAAAGAAAACATATGTCACGTTCCTGGAATGAGAGTGAACTATCAGACTTGCCAAAAGTACAACGACGCCTGTACTGCACGCTTTACATACAGTACGTGGTCTCAGATGCTTTGAAGCATGCGAACCTCGTCGCACAAATTTGTTCGCAGAATCGGCGCAAATTCGTCTTTGGCTGCAGCCGTATTATTCCGCCTAATACCAGTTCACTCCTCCCGATACTTTCCGGGTGTGTGAATCGCGTGGCCTCGCTTCTATTTTCGCCACACTGTACCGCGTTTGCAGCCGCGTGCACTTGCTGCAACACTGTACATCTTCCCAGAGCGATTGATCTGAACCCGAACAGAACAATGCACTCAGTGTAATCTTGCCAGAATGTCAGAAACCTGTCTAAAAACCTGATCAAAATTCGCGCACCTCTGATAGCTGAAAACATCTCCTGACAGTCTGTACAACTCAAACCGTCAATATCAGAGTACACTCCACAAAAAATGTCCTGTCAACGCCGTTAATTTATTATCAATGTTTGCTGTTATGCAATTCACGGCGTTTGCTGTGAACTAGTTCACGGCGTTCATTGTGATCTCCGTTACAGTGTTCACTGTGATCTGGCCACAGTAAACGCCGTGAATTGGAGCCTGATTTGCATTACTTCGGTGCTCAGCGGCGTCAAACTCACAGTGTTTACTGTTGACCAGATCACAGTGAACACCGCGAACAAGATCACACACGCTAAGACTTTTTTCAATACTACGACGGAATTCCGTCGAAGATACAACATGTCAACATATCCGATCCGTCGCTACGACGTGTAACACGTCGTAGATTGACGAGCAGTGGCGCTCCTTGCGTCACTTTTTGGAACTATAGGCGCTCGCGTGACGAACGAGCCAGCCAGCGGCGACGAAGGGGTATCAGTGTATTTTCAAGATTGTTAAAATTGACTTTGCATTACACTGTTAAAAATGAATGAAATTTAATGACATTTGTGACATTATTTTTCATTAAACGTCATTATATTTAATTACATCTCCACATTCATTACATTGTAATGAAAATTTCATTACCTCGGTCATGAAGTTTAATGGCATTAGCCATGTAATGAAAGTTTCATTACATTATGCAGCTTGTCATGAAATTTTCATTACATGTCATTAAATTTTTCAAAAATATTTAAGCATGACTGAAATTTTTTAGGTTTGTCCAGGATCTAAGTTAAGCTTACTCAAACTAATTTAGACTTCTATTGGCCGTTAACATCAATTTTTCTCGTACAAGCGTCTATTACGGCGTCATGCGCCAAATCTGTCATTCGTTAGTCTGCCGCTAGGTGTCGCATGGTACACGGGGATCACTCTCAACTCTGTATTTTGTGATAAAATATTAAAACGTGAGGAGATATTCTGAAATGTATCCCTGTTTCATGTGAAGTGGTGGATTGTTTAACTAACGGCGAAGAGTTTGGTGGAAAAGAGCGATATTTGAAGTGACCAAATAGGTTTTCCTGATGTTGCTCGAAGGCGTCTACGGGCTGCCGTTTGGTAGGGTTAGGCCCCGATCTCCCCTCTTCAGACATCTAAACTGCCCCTGACCAGAGTTGTTCTGGGTCACTCAATTTTTACCTCTTCTCTGCTGTCAGAGTCGTTGTGAATCCACTCCAGCCTATATCAAATCGAAAAGTTGCGCAATTTGTGTGAACTTTGATCAGTTTCATTACGTTTTTGTCATTAAAATTTTCCTTACATTCGTTCATTACACTGTAATGAAAATTTTAATAACATATATGTAATGAAAACTTTAATTACATTGTAATGATTATAGCTTCACTACCATGTAATGAAAATGTAATTAAATTTTTTTAACAGTGTACAGAAATGGATTTGTTCCAACAAGAAAAACTAAGAAGATCAACACATTTAATAGGTTTGGATGCACAATGAAATTTTTTTGAATTTTAAGGTGCTAAAATGGACAAAAAGAACCATTTGTCACTTTAAAAATTCAATATCTTTTCCATTTCTCATCCAAACCTATGACATGAGAAAACATTTTATATTTGTCTTGTCAACGCCCACCTATTTTTGTAAAGTGATGTCAATTTGGACAACGTTCGGATTTTCAAGCTTTTGAGCATTTGCCCAAGAATTGAATCTTTTTCATGCAAAAAAGGAAGGATGGCTTACGGTTTCCAAAGGCTGCAATTGAGTTTCTAAATGAGTAAAATTAGCTCCTGGGAAAGCTTTCAAAAGTCCGAAGTGATGGTGTTGGGAAAACAAAAATGAGCTCGATAAATAAAAACTTTTGCATTTTGATGAATACGTAATGCGATTTATCATTTGCCTCAGATCTTGAAAGAAGTTTGTTGGCGTAAAAGTAGTCAATCAAACAAAGTGCAACAACATGAAGTGAAATCCAAAGAAAAAACGTGTTTCTCCTTGGACAAGGTAGGTTTACGCCAGACCGTGTCTTGTCGTAACAGGCTTCGCGATGTCCCGCTGCCTGTTCCTCCAATCCGCGCCTGGCGTACCTACCTTGGCCTGTGGCGCTAGCCTGCCTTCGGCAGGCCATGGCTTGCCCATCGTCGGTTACTTCTAAATTGTTGCATGCTGGGGGGCTCCGTCCCCCAGACCCCCCTTCATTCCAGATAGAGTTGCTTCATCTACAGATAACACGATCTTGACGCTTGTTACTTTTGAACATGCCGGGGCTGGAGGGCTCGGGCAGTAAGCATTTGCCTGCAGAAAACTCGATTTTTCGCCGTTTTTTAGGTGTTTTTCGGTTATAAAAACTGAACCAGTTGAGCTAGGATAGTAAAATTTCGCGTGTGCCGAGCCAAGGACATACCCAAAGAGTGTGCAAAATCTCAGCCAGATCGGCCGAGCCGTTCGGGAGGAGTAGTGCTGACAGACAGACACACAGACAAACAGACAGACAGACAAAACTTTTCAACCCCACCTGAGTAACGGGCTCCGCTATCGCTCAGCCGATCAGCCAAAAATATCTCATATGCTTATACTGTACGATACCCAAATTACATGAAAATGGTCACGATTGGACTAATCTGCTGTCAGGTCACTCCGCAGAGGATTTCTGTGACTTATCACTTTCCGCTAGAATGGAAAACATAGTCATCTCAACCTATATTTTTTAACCAAAGTGGAATTTGGAGACCCGTCAACTGGAACTCAGCATAAAGTGTTTGTTACTCGGATGTAATTTTTAGACTTGGATCTTTTTTCCATTTCAGTTGTTAAAATGAAGGGCGCTTAAGTTGACTTGATTCTTTTCACAATAGGTTCATAAAAACACAAGTTGAGTTATCTCCTATCGACAATATTTTCAACGCAGTCATGTTGGCTTTGGTTGAGTTGATTCCATTTTCCGCTAAATTGAGACTGTAAAAGGTGTCAAGTTGAGTTGTATCCTTTCTCCACTTGCATTTTCTCCTTACCCACTAGGAATTTAGTGAAATAATTTGTTTCTATGGTAGATATTCTGACAAGATGAGGACTCAATTATCAGCTTTGTAGGCTTCGTTGTAACTTCGCTGAGTTCAATCAATTTTCAAACTCAACCAAATAGGCATTGCCTTACAGATTTAGATTTGTCTCAAGAAAACAATCAAAAAATGTCAATACATGTTATGGGTTAAAGTAGAAAATAAAAGAGTTATTGGATTTATAGAGTGGTCAAAAAATAGACATTTGAAGTTCAATGACTCTTTCATTTTTCATTTTCACCCATAACATGTGTCGACACTTTTTGTTTGTCTTCTTGAGACAAATCTAAATCTGTAAGGTAATGTGTGTTTGGTCAAGTTTGAAAATTCACTCCAGGCGCTGTCCTGCGAAAGTACGCCACTTTCGATCTGCGACGAGGCTTCGACGGAATTGCTTTCGAACTTCGACGTGGCGTTGCAGTTTTCCGTCGAAGGGGGCGATTTCCGTCGTGAATACGAAAGAACTTTTCAAAAAAAGTCTAAACGTGCAACAAACCATCGAGAATTCACTGTCACCTTATAGATATTTTTGCTAATTTCGTTGGTACTATGGAGAAAATGTCGACCATAATATGTTGGCGCATCCTTTCACCGTAAGGCATTTACAGTGTGAATGCTGCAGGTGGGCGAGCTCAACGCGGGCAAGGTGCGCCTGTCCGCCACGGGCGAGGGCGGCGTGCCGTTCAGCAACGCCACGGAGGTGGACTTCGACGCCAAGACGGCCTCGCTCTTCGTGCAGACGGACAAGGCCCAGTACAAGCCGGGGCAGGACGTGCGCATCAGGGTGCTGGTCCTGGACCCCCACCTCAAGCCCACCGTCAGAGACCCCATCAACGTGTTCGTGTTGGTGAGCATGATCGTGTTTCTTTGCTGTTCTGGAGGTCCGACTATAACCAGCACCACGCGTTGCAATGCAGAGCGGGCGAAACGGGCGGATCTTCGCGTCCATATCGGTGAACTCAAATTTTCTTTTCTTCAATACCCGGTCCGGGTCCGCCCGTAGACGTCCGTTACCGAAGCTAAAACGGACGCAAAACGGACGTTCCGAGGGCAGCCGAAGCGACTTCGGCTCGTCACCGCTGTCAGCCAGCGGGTGCTTCGAGCACCCCTCACCTCTCCCCTTGCCTGCCGCGGCTGGCACTGCCGGCCGGCCGATGGCTGTGGCTGTGCCTCGATCGGCGACCGCGTCGTCTGTCCGTCTGTAATTCGACGCGTCGGATCGCCGCCGGCCCAGTGCCTACCTCCCCCACCTCATTCCACTTTTCTAAACGGACGCGCAGGTCCGCCCGTTTCGTTGCGCTGTTGCAGTGTCCCATTTGTGTGACCCATTTGTGAAACCCACCTAAGAAATCTGATCTCACTGCAAATGCAAAGGCGATACTTAAGTACTTTTTTTGGTGATACAATTGAGTATTGCCAACAAACGGTACGGAAAAGTATTGCCCTCATAACGGCGATAGGGTCAGGGCGGGGAAGAACTGGACAGGGGAAGAACTGAACACCCCATATTTTACTTCAAATACCGTAGGCACAGGAATAACAACTATCAAAAGTTGTTCCGTGGTATCAGCGGTTCATTACACGACAGTTGTCAGGCCATTACATACGGCATTTGAAGTAAAATGTGGGGTGTCCAGTTCTTCCCCTGTCCAGTTTTTCCCCGCCCTGACCCTACACAGAAGTATCGCCAAAACCGCGGCATTAAACTAAGGACTTGTCCCCTTGATTTGCTCAACGATTAATGCCAAATCGTGGCAATACTCCGAAGTAGGGTGAAGTATACAGTTACCGTCAGTTTAAGAGCATCACTTTCTTTTCAAGGGCCTCTAGGGTAGGTTATGACATTTAGACCTGCGCGACTTGTTCCAGACACCTCACAAGGATCTAGTCAACGAAGTGGCTGATAAAGATTTCATGAAAAACTTTTTGTGTCGCTCTTATTTGACCTGAGAAAATGGTTACCGAAAACACAGTTATCGGCAGCCAAAATACAGTTATCGGCACCCCTTGTTTAAAAGGCAAAACATGACCGAAAGTGACGAAAATTTCTAACAGTCGTCACAGGCACTCTATATCATCCCTCGACATGTCACGAACCCCCTCTCTCTGCTGTTATGCCTCTTGGGCTCTTCTTTTTAGACTCACAGACTACTAGCACCAGAGTTGCGAAATAACAACCTTCCAAAGCACCGAGGAGGACATCTCGTAAATCACGTAGATCACTGGGAAAAAGTGATCCGATTTCGTTCAAATTTAGTAGGGGTCCTCCTATGGTCTTAATGCACCAGAATATTAACTCCCCAACGATGCCCGAAACAGCAGAGAAGTTTGAGGTCACCCTGACGATAACTGTGTTTGGGGTGATTTCTTGGGTACAGTTATCGGCAGCCCCCGATTGAGGACAAGCAAGAGGAATTTCTGTGCGCCAAGCACAGTATGCCCTCTTCAATAGATGGGGAGAAAGAACCTGGCAAAGAGAATAGTTTTTTCGCGCCCACATTCACGAATTTAACGTAAGATTGAACCCCTGTTCCAAGCATAGAAGATAAGAACGGGCGGCCGAAGCGACCTCTTTCTGCACTTGACAAGAAACGTGGCTCTGTTGGCTGACATGCTCAATCGAACGCGATGCTGTCTTTGTCCTGCATGCTCAAAAGGTGTCTCTAGCGACCTGCATTGGCCGCATCACTAACGGACGCGTACTTGCAGAGCAGGCCCCAATTATTTGCCGAGATGACGATAACTGTACCCCTGCCGATAACTGTATGTAGTTTACCCTATCGCCAAATTTTGGCGATACCTTTGTGTATCGCCGTTTTGAAAGGAATTTTTTTGCGTAAGGCCGTTTATTGCACGGTGAAACCGATGTCTGGAAATTTCCAGACATTTTTTCCCATTTCCAGACATTGTCTGGAAATGGCCGTTTTTTTCCAGACAATGTCTGGAAATGTCTACTTTTTCCAGATAATGTCTGGAAATGGTCAAATCCCAGATATATATCTGGAAAAAAAACGGCATTTCCAGACAATGTCTGGAAATAACATTTTCCAGATAATATCTGGAAATTTCCCAGATAATGTCTGGAAACAAAGGCCTTGACGCCGAGGTTCACGGATTTGCGACCTGGGGGTCCCCGATGGTGTCCTCGAGGTCCCCAGGACACGAGGAGTCCAACGCAGAGGTCGCCGACGCTCTAGGACAAGCGGTTCCGGAGATACGAGGACGTACCACAAGGAGTCCGTCAAAGCAACTTTTTAGTTGGAGGCCAAAATCATCATCGGCCTCTGGCTGCGTTCCACTTGGGTGTCCGGGACTTTTGACTTCAGCATCGTGTTAAGGTAGTGCTAGACTACTAGGAACCCGTCAGAGGTCGCCGTCGGACCACCGGTGCGCCCAGGATGCCGACGAACGTGGCTGCTGTGCCGCCACACGGTTCAACACCGTTGTCGCCACCACCCAGGTGGTCCCCGATGGTGTCCTCGAGGTCCCCAGGACACGGGGAGTCCAACGCCGAGGTCGCCGACGCTCTAGGACAAGCGGTTCCGGAGATACGAGGACGTACCACAAGGAGTCCGTCAAAGCAACTTTTTAGTTGGAGGCCAAAATCATCATCGGCCTCTGGCTGCGTTCCACTTGGGTGTCCGGGACTTTTGACTTCAGCATCGTGTTAAGGTAGTGCTAGACTACCAGGAACCCGTCAGGGGTCGCCGTCGGACCAACGGTGCGCCCAGGATGCCGACGAACGTGAGGCACGCCGGAGCGCCGTGGCGTGCCGGGTGCCTAAACGATCGTCGCCACCGCTGCGGCCGCTGCCGCCGGGTCCTCCGCACCAACCGCGAGCTTGGACGACGGAGGCCGACGCCGTTGGCACCGACGCCGCCGACGTATCGCCACACGGTGAAACCGATGTCTGGAAATTTCCAGACATTTTTTCCCATTTCCAGACATTGTCTGGAAATGGCCGTTTTTTTCCAGACAATGTCTGGAAATGTCTACTTTTTCCAGATAATGTCTGGAAATGGTCAAATCCCAGATATATATCTGGAAAAAAAACGGCATTTCCAGACAATGTCTGGAAATAACATTTTCCAGATAATATCTGGAAATTTCCCAGATAATGTCTGGAAACAAAGGCCTTGACGCCGAGGTCCACGGATTTGCGACCTGGGGGTCCCCGATGGTGTCCTCGAGGTCCCCAGGACACGAGCACCAACCTGTTCATAAACAACACTTTTCTGTTTTCAAACAAAGAAGTTGTTATACATTTACAAAAAAAATGTCGAGGGTCCTAATAGTCTTATCCAATACTAGCAGTCATTCAGAAACGCTCTTTTCTGTTTACAAACAGCACTGTTCTTCAACGCGGTCTCTCTGTTATTCACAAAAAGGAAATAGGAGTTTCCTGACGGCTCAAACAAGACATTTGTTTTGTAACAGTTCGTGCAGTTCTTGGACAGTTCACCGCTGTTTAAAAATTGGAAGTGTTGCTAAAAAACTTTACAACACAAATGCTGTTCAGAAACAACAGAATTTATTTTGACATAGTTGGAGTTTGATTTGAGCCGTGAGCTGCAAAATGCTCCGGCAAATCTTCAATTGAATGGTGTTGTTTTTAAATGACAGGATACCGTTCCAAAACAACATATATCATTAATTTTACAAACAAGATGTTCTGTTTTCCAGCATTGGAAATCGACTATATTTGTTGTTTTCTCCAATGATGAAACTTGCTGTTTCCTAACAGCATTTGTGCTGTTTTAAGTTCCGATGACACGTGCTGCTTAAAAGCAAGTCACTCGTTGGTAAATGTGCTGTTTTCCTACAGTTTCTTTTAACAGTGTGCAAGGACACACTTCCTGTTGCATGCCTGGCAGGCACACACTTCTTTTCTGCATGCCTGGCAGGCACACACTTCCTGGTGCATGCCTCAGGCACACACTTGCTTGTATGCATGCATACGCGACGGCAAGTGTGTGCCTGAGGCATGCACAGGAAGTGTGTGCCTGCCAGGCATGCAGCAAAGAAGTGTGTGCCTGCCAGGCATGCACCAGGAAGTGTGTGCCTGCAGGCATGCACCAAGAAGTGCATGCCTGGCACACACTTGAGTTTGCAGAGCAGATGTTCCTTAAGCTGTTCCCCACAGGGTTTCAAAGCCGGATTTTTGAATTTTGGTCAGAATTTTTTAATATTATTAGAGAATGGTCAGTTTTTAATCAATTTTAAGCAATTTTGACCATTTTTTTATTTGTAAAAAAAAGCGCGTTTGAATAAAATGATTTAGAGATCGAAAATGAAAAAAGTGGCTGAGAGAACCTGTAGAACAGGTCTTTAGGACAATAAAAACGTTAAGTCGAATTTTCTGACATCAAAAATACGACGCAAGGAAACTTTTTAGTTAACATATATTTTTAACTTTACCTGTGAATATCTCCCAAACCATTTGGCCGAAAATTTTCATAGTCAGCTGAAATAGGTTTGAGTAATAATCTATCTGTTACGGCTAATGACGGGTACCCGGCTAATGTCGTCCCTAGCCGGCTAAAGTCGTCCTTATCCAGGGTCCGGCTATCATCAGCCAACGAGTGCCGGATAAGGACGACCCTAGCCGGCTAAGGACCACATTAGCCAACTCATTTTGGATAGAGATGTCCTTAGCCACTGCATGTTGGATAGAGTGAGACACATGTGGGGGAGGGGAGTCATTTATTTTTGCAATTTCTGTTGTTGTGGCACTTGCTCTTGCACAGTTGGCCTAGTCGTTTGCACCCACATCGGCTCGTGTCACAGTGCCCTGAAAAGTTGCATTTTTGGTAGCCCTGGCCCCCTAAGATTGAACCTTTGGTTGCCATTTTCCGCAAAGCCACTGATTTATCCATTAGTACATCTTGTACTCTCAGGAATTTTTCTTTCTGGACATCGAACTGGTTCCTGGAGTACAAATGCCTGAGCACACCTTCCTTGTTGCCTAACCTGTACAGTCCCTCCTCGCACACCTCCAGCACAACAGCGATAACATTCCTCGGGTCAGCACGTCCCCTGTCCTCTTTTGGAATCTTAATTGTGACCGTGTCGCCGACTAGGGCGGGAGCGAACTTTTTGTTCGACGTCCGCAGCATCCTGTCAGCCTGATCCTCCAGATTGGATCTGGCTGCCGCACGGTTCCGCTCAACTTAGTGAGCACGAGTGCAGGGGACGCAGCAACCTTCATTGGCGCACTACTCATGGAGTGGCATGCCACAGGAGCGGCACTCTTCGTCCAGTCCGCATCGTTGTCCGCACAACACGCAGTCTAGCAGGCTGGTTCCAGGATGCTGCACTGGAGGCGTGGAGAACCCCTGGAACGGGCTGGAGAAGGTCACCCCGCGCATGCCGCTCGTACTCGGTGTCGCTGTGGCCAGGAATTGGAATACTTGTAGGAATGTTTAAGGGTTTTTAATTGGTTTAGGGAAAGGGACGTACCAGGGTTTACGGGGGGCGGGCCTGCCTGCAACATGTGCAGCGGAATAGTGACTGCACGACGGCTGGGCGTTGCAGCAGTGGCAGAGGGCTCGGGAGATGGAGTGGATTCCGGGGATGCAGACGGTACGGGGCTTTGTTGTCCTTCTTCGCGGATGCTTTCCAGGAAGACCTGGAGCTCCTCTTCGGTTTCGAGCTGGACATCGGCTGGAATGGAGGTGCTCAAGCCCACCTTCATTGGAGTCCCGAACATGGCCTCGTAGGGGCTAATCTTGGTACCCTGATGAATTGCTCTGTTCTTTTGGCACTGGACAAATCGCAGACCCTTGGACCACTCCTTGCTCTTGTTTTGGCGCATCCATGCCGTGAGCATATCCTGCACGTCCTGATTGGCCCGCTCCACTGAGCCCTGAGTTTGGCTATGGCGCGGCTTCCCGTGCACCATTCTCAGCCCCAGCCACTGCTGCTTGAGTCCCGTTATTAGGCAGTTGCAGAACTCCCTCCCGTTGTCGCTTTGCAGCACGGAGGGAGCTCCAAAGATGCAGAATACTTCAATAAGTCGATCTAGCACCTCTTCTGCTTCCTTGCACTTCAAGGGGTGAAGTTGGACAAACTTTGTCAAATGGTCTTGATACACGAAAATAAACCGGTAGGGACCGTCCGGGTGGGATTGCATGTCAACGAGGTCCACCTGTGCTCTTGAATTCATTTCTTTAAAAAGCATAGGCTTCACGGTGATTCCCCTGCGCTTGGCCTTTTTTTTCCCCAGGTAGATGCCGCACAGCCTCAAGAACAGCAGTACCTGCTCCTGTGTCACGTTCATGTATTTTAACTTACGCTCGGCCAACATACGGTGCTTCCCCCCGTGACCCACATCAACATGGGCCTGAAGTAACACGTCGTAGAGTTGTTTCACGGTTACATAGTACAGGATATCACCATGTTCAGATTTCTGGGGGGAAATGAGTCGCTCTTCACCGTCCATGGTGATCACCCCGTACTTCTCCAGCCGCATCCGGTCCTTCTTGGTTCGGACTGTCTTCTTTGCCGAGGCAGCTTTGACCTCTTCGATGATCTTCGCATATCTACGATAGAGTACAGGAAATTGTAAAAATGTTCGGAGGTGGTGTTACGTGGCGACGATCGCAGCTAAGGCATACCTCTTTTGGCTGAAGAAGGCCGAGTTGTCCCCTCTCTTCTTCCTTGCCAGGGCTTTGCATTGGTTTTCAAATTTGGCTCGGGACGGCCCTTGCGTCTCCAGCTCCTGCTCCTCATCTAGCACCGGCACCTCGCCACTAATCTCGCTACTTGTGTCACTTGCTTGGCTCATGGCTCTAGACTCCCCTCCTCCCGTTTACATTTTTTATAGTGCTTTTGAGTTGGTTTTAAATTTTTCTTTGGTTTCCAAATTTTGGCGCGCGACCCCGGTGACGGTTTCAACAATGCCACCCCTTGCACCGCCCGCCGGACACTTTAGCCACCCTCCTTTGGATAATGACTACCCTAGCCGGCTAGAGTCGTCCTTATCCGGCCAATTAGAATGGCATCCAATATTAGCCACAAAATTGGATAAGGATGACTTTAGCCGGCTAGGGACGACATTAGCCGGGTACCCGTCATTAGCCGTAACATATCAAAGGAAAACAAGAGAAAACTTCTGCACTGGTGATCCTGGAAAAAACCATTTTCAGTATAGTCCCCCCTTAAGTCGTAGGTGATTGGGAAAACCTGGAACCATTTTTGCCGTCTGCACTGGTATTATAAAGGCATACAAACTACGCCCTTAAGGGTAAGATAGTCGTTCACGCACTTCAAGGAAATGAATCGTTTCATGCCGTTTGAAGGGCGTTCCAATTACTGTCCGAAAGTCCTATACCACCCTTCGCGGGAGCGTTGGACGATACACGACGTGCCAGGGGCACAAACTGTTAACGCTCTGAGAGGCCTTGGTTTTTGTGCCTTTGTTTCACCTCTGTGGCAAGCAAACTTGCCACCAGATTTCTGTAGCTATCTATCGGAGATATAACAGCGCATCTACAATGGGATTCCCTATGAACATACGTTAGTCAGATGACCACCTATTTGCTGTGTGCACGACGAGCTTCCTTGTCCGACTGCAGGACGGCAAAGGCAACCGCATCAAGCAGTGGCTGAGCGAGCATCCCGAGGGCGGGCTGTGGTCCGGCACGTTCTCCCTGTCCGCGGGGCCGGTGCTCGGGGACTGGACCGTGGCCGCCGCGCTGGCCACCACGCCCGCCCCCGGCCCGGTCACCAAGACGTTCGGCGTGGCCGAGTACGTCCTGCCCACGTTCGAGGTGACGGCCAAGGCACCGCAGAGGGTCGCCTTGAAGCAGGGCAAGATCGCCGTCACCGTCAAGGCCAAGTAAGTGATACGGTCCCGCGGGATAGCTGTGGGATTTGAATGTGCCGCGCTCTCCCCTAGGCTAATTCCACTTTTGGTAGACTGAAGAAGAAGCACAAAACTTGATGTGGGGTAGCTGGGTGTTCACCTCTCTTATTAAGTTTTGTGATTTTCATTGTTCTTTATTCGGCGACGACTTCGCACTGTGAAGGTAGTTGGTACAACTTCGTAACGTGTTTTCACACAATTTTAAACATGCGAATTTTCTTTTCAAATTTATACGTGGAATCTCAAAAAAAAAAAAAAACCGTGCCGAATTGCGTTTAAATAAATCAATCAATCAAAGCACGAGTGCGCAGAATTGTGTGAGACCACATTGAGATGCCAAACACTCTGAACGTAGCACGTAAGGTGCAATGCATTGAGACATTGCACCGTACCGTAAGCCGGGGTAATATGAGACAATTTCGGGGTAATATGAGACGGAGTTTGGATTGCGTAAGATTCACTCTGAGCTCGCTATTCGGCCACAAAGAGAGCCACTGCCGTAAAAAAATAATTACTCTTTGTTTGTACCATTTTTCGCCGTGAAGTTTGACAGGGATGAGTCATCAAATGCCACGAGCATTATAATTCTAACGATAAAAATCATGCGTCTCATATTACCCCGAAATTGTCTCATATTACCCCGGCCTACGGTACCGACCGTACGTACAATGTCCGATGTTTATGCCAAGGAAGGCATTGCGCTTAACGTGCAATTTAAAAGCGTTTCACTGAACCAATTGCTGTGATTGCAAAGGGTTCAATTGCACCGACTAACGCTAGCGTTTGGATTTTCAGTGCACGTACGAAAATAGTACGAAGGCATTTACTGAGTAAAATAGCCTGTTACAAGGGGTCCCCAACGGGTGAAAATTGGTGCCTTTAAAAGTGCTGAAAGTCGGTGAACGCTGGTAGAAAATTAATTTTAAGAGTCATAAAAGTCATCTAAGGGTCAAAAAGTCATTAAAATGTCAAAGAGTCAACAAAGTTCCGTGGCAAAACAGTCGCAAGAAGTCGAAACAGATAATAAAGAAGTCAAAAAATCACAAGAGAGTCAAAAAGACACTTTTGACTTTAAGTCAGTTTACGCTCGCCGGTTCGTTAGGTGACCCCTTGGCCAGAGCTGTGCAAACCCATCCGTGTGCATCCGCATCCATCCGCACGGTCCAGGGTGAGCCGGTCAAGCGGTGGCTGTACGAAGTGTGGCCGGCCGACTGGGCGGTTGGCGCATGCCCTTGGCCTGTAACCATGAATTAAGACACGAATTCACTTCTCTCCAGGTACACCTACGGGAAGCCAGTGGTTGGCAAGGCCACGGTGCGGGCCCCACTGCCGTACTACTGGACCAACCCCTTCTCGGCGCACACGTTCCCTGTGCCGGGCGGTGCTGCGGAGAATGCCTCGACCTCCACGACCATCTCCACCACACCCAGGCCGCCGAGACCCACACACGTCGAAAAAGTGGTCCCGATTGACGGCAGTGCCACGGTCGAGTTCGACATGAAGGAGGACCTCAAGTAAGCTGAAGGCAATGCGTCTGTTATTCCAAGGGAGATATTGAGATCAATTCAGGAATCACATAAGCCTTTTTATGGCTGCTTATTGTACGAAACGTTTAACATCAGCAATGTCAGTGACCCTCAAAAGATTGCGTTTGGGTACAGAAAACGACGCCTCCTAATAGAACAATACTTACTAACTGTCAGTGCTGATCCAAGACAATCCTAACTGCTCAGGGGTTTCAGAGGAGGCTAAAACTGCTCATTAGCTCTTTTCAGTAAGCAGCGAATCATGATATCACTGAAATACAGCTTCCACGTTTATGTGCAAGGTTTATACTTTTTAACAAGTCCATTGCCAAGAAATTTGAAGCAGCATGTTGGCGTCACAGAATTTTATAAGAAATAGCTTTTTACGTCGTACAATCTGCGCTGACAGCTAGGATCGTCTTGGATCAGCACTGACAGTTAGGATTACCCTAGGCCGGGGTAATATGAGACAATTTCGGGGTAATATGAGACGCATGATTTTTATCGTTAGAATTATAATGCTCGTGGCATTTGATGACTCATCCCTGTCAAACTTCACGGCGAAAAATGGTACAAACAAAGAGTAATTATTTTTTTACGGCAGTGGCTCTCTTTGTGGCCGAATAGCGAGCTCAGAGTGAATCTTACGCAATCCAAACTCCGTCTCATATTACCCCGAAATTGTCTCATATTACCCCGGCTTACGGTATTCTATTCGGAGGCGTCGAAAATAGTGCAGAAGTTCGGTAGTGTGCCAGGCAATTTATTGACCAAACTTGTTAAGGACTTTTTCCGTCCTTTTTTTTTCTGCCAGTGTGTTAACATCACTTTGCTTTCGCAGACTGGAAGACCACGATTGGAACCACGTGAACTTCGAGGTGTCTGTGGTGGAGGACGTGACGGGCCGCGTGCTCAACGCCACGGACGTGGAGGGCACGCAGGTCCGGCGGCACGACTTCGAGTTGCAGTTCGTGGACACCTCGGACACTTTCCAGCCGGGGAAGCTTGTCATAGCCAAGGTTAGGTTAGGTTCAGTGCGGTCTTCTGCGCCACTGTGCTATGATCTTCAATTTCGTATCAGAAAATACCGAAGTTAAACGGAAATTCTTTTCTTGAAAGTAGTACAACTTACTAAGTGTTTTTGTACAAATATTGTCCGAGATGATGCAATTTTTAGTGCAGATGAATATTGCGCATAAATTTATCCGTACTTTCCCCCTAAATTAGAAAAACTGTGCAGTTTCTCGTGCAAACATCCAACATAAATTTCAGTAAAAGAATAACAGTAACTGCTTGTAAAATAACGGTACATAACATGAAGTGTCAAGTTAAATTTTTATTCCTTTTGTCTTTATTTTTCTGTAACGCAATGTTAAAGCAATCTGTTCGCCTCTTCATCAACGTGCGCTCACACACGATCTCACCCGGCGTTCCTTCTGCAGGTGAAAGTGACGGATCTTGAAGGCAGCCCCATCCACGACGACAAGAACCCCGTCGAGTTGAAGTACAGTTACAATCACGGATGGGAAGAACTCGAGCAGAAATCGCTACCGAAGCAAACGGTTCCGCCGACGGGCATCGTGACGTTCGAACTGGAGCCGGAGAAGAACAAGTCACAGATCATATTGACCGTGGGTACATCTTTGTGTGTCGCCGTTACCACTGAGAAACGGTTGACTTATTACATAACGTTTTCCATGGCTCTGTTCTTGTTGCTTAAGGGGGGACCCTGGTGAAACTTTCAAGTAGGCTTCAAAATAATCCCAGGAAGTTGAAACTTTGCTTAGTTATGAGGTTCATTATGGTGAGTTCCCAAAATAAAATTCAATCCAAAATGTTGAACGGTCTCTGAGAAAAGTGGCTTTTTAGTGTTTTTTGGAGCGTTGGGGAAAAATCTTCCTGCGTCTTTCATTGGGACGGAAAGTCTTGAAAATTTTTTTGGGTTATCCTAAAGATGTATAGGAGAGATTTTAGTGACGGAATTTTCAAATTCAACTTCTGTCCTGAGATATGAGTTTTCAAATTTCAACATTTAAAAAAAAGTGATTTTTTTCCCTTTTTTCAAACTTTTAGGTGTATTTTTAAAAAAGTAGAGCTGATATCAAGATTCCGTCACTAAAATTTGTCGAATAGTCATCATTGAATAGAGTCCATGCAAGACGACTCATGTAGGTGTCAACTAGGAACGCAGGAAGTCTTTCTACGACAAAATTTTTTGTCGACTGAGCAAAGCTGTGAAGTTGAGCGTAGAAGCCAACGACAACTGATCTCAATGTTATTTCCTTCGAAATGATAAAGAAACTACCCACTTAGCTTAAAGGGGTTCAACCTGTTGAATCTGAAACCTTCTATGCACATTTTTATCTATGAACTTTGAAAATACTATTTTTTGGAATTTTGGCGATTTTTTCACCAGGGTCCCCCTTTAATACACACGAAATGTCATGAAGCATTTATTTTCCCACGAGCTATGGAATTTGAAGTTCATCGCTACAAATCCAAAGGTCAGACTTCTCGCCACTCCAGGGCCAAGACATAAAAGTCTCGCCAAGATTTAGTCAGACCTGAAAGTCTCGCCAAAATTTGGTCAGACAAGAAAGTCTCGCCAAAAAACGGTCATACACAAAAGTCTGACCCCGAAATTGCGAGACTTTTGTGTCTGACCGCTACCTAAAGGCCGAAATGCGCCGGACGGTTACGGCCTAAAGGCTGTGGTCAGACACAAAAGTCTCGCCATTTTGGGGTCAGACTTTTGTGTATGACCGTTTTGTGGCGAGACTTTTTTGTCTGACCAAATTTTGGCGAGACTTTCAGGTCTGACCAAATCTTGGCGAGACTTTAATGTCTCGCCATAATTTGGCGTGAAGTCTTTCCATCCAAATTGCAGTGATCCGACGGTGATACAATTTTCTTTCCGCCTGGAAACACATTTTGTCTGATGCCTTGAGTTTTCAGTGCGCTTAAAAAAATACTATATTTAGCTACGGAATATATAATGACGAGCTCTCAAGCCATCAGATACGATCCTGTATTTGCGTTTTGAATCGTAGGCCAAAATGTTCCGCGCCATGAAGCTTTAAGTATGTCTACACTATTATTATCTGTGTAGGATCATTTTTGTACATTTTATGTTTGGTTTCAGGCTGTTTATTGCAACAACACCGCCGTCCAATACATTAGCGCACTCGAGGAGGGGGAAAGTCAGAACCTTAGCGTAGAGATGGTGCAAGAAAGCGTTAATGTGAGTGATAACTGGGCGTAAGAATAATGCTGAGGGATCTACTCCCTTATTCATAACAAAGTTTCGGTATGAACTCCTCGTAGTCACGAAGAATTTCTTTGAATTTTGACAAATTCCATGAACTGTGAAGACTTGGCTACAGTTCAGGATTGTCGTTCCAATTTCGGTGAACAAATCCTTTGGAGTTGCTTCACCTTGGCACACAATTCAGTCCAGTCGACAGAGGAGCAAGGTATTAATCTGAGTGTGTCCTTTCCTCTTCTTCGCCACCGTTGGGTCATCCAGGTCGGCGACGACATCCTGGTGCGGGTGATCGCCAAGGTGCCTCTGCGCCAGGCCACGCTGGTGGTGCAGGGCCCGCTGGGACTGCGGTCGGTGCGCGACGTTCCCGCCGCGCTGGACGCCGAGCAGGACTCGAAGCAGGACGCAAAGGCGGGCACCACGGTGCGCGTCCGCGCCACTGCCGACATGGCCCCCGCCTCGCGCGTCGTGGTGTACGGAGTGACGGCGGACGGCCTCCTGGCGGCCGACGTGACGGCCGTCAAGGTCAACGCGACCCTCGCGCCGGTAAGCGCGTTTGTTTACTACCAACACTGAAAATCTACCGGCGTGACTTCGTGCCGCTGCAGGGGCGTGAAGAAAGTGTCAGGCCATTAAACGGCATGACACAAAAGTCACGCCAAAAATCGGCGTGACTCCAAAATTCACGCCAATTTTTGGCGTGAATTTCTTGTCATGCCGCTTTTTGGCGTGACTTGCCTCAGAAAACGCGTTGTCAATCACGCCAAATGAGGGCGTGACTCACATGTCACGCCGTTTTTCGGCGTGAATTTCGTGTCACGCCAATTTTTGGCGTGACTTTTTGTCACGCCATAATTTGGCCATGTGTCCGACCATTACGTTTTCAGTGAACCACATACACAAAAATGCCGTACCTTTGCACGGAAAATGTACATACGAATATTGTACGGAAGAACGAAAACAAGTACGGAACGTCCGTACTAGTGCACTCTCAGACTGTTATTGACTTTTTGTCTATTGGTAAATAGTTATTTACACAGCAATAAAAAGTACTATTTCCTCTATAACAATGTAAGTTTTTTAGCAGATGATACGTTCACGTATCAGCGTGCTTGTACTCTCGTGCAGAGAGTACCGAGTTTCCGGCTAGCCAGGCGGCAGTTGCCTCGTTGCCTGACTAGCAAGCCTAGAAGAGACCGCGCGCCTCGCCGGCAAGGCAGCGGCTGGCTGGCCTGCCTAGAAGATTATGAGCGGAGGGCCCCCAGCGTGCCGCGCCGCGCGTGCCGTCGCCCGCCGCTCATGGATCGGGGCGCCTGCGGGGGCTCGGGTTGCGCGCGGGGCGTATAACCTCGACACCCAGCTATCTAGTACTCCTGAAGTGCGTCCCTCACGTTGCGTGGTGCCGCTCCCCTTCCTCTCGTCACGAGACGCTGCTAGCACGCATCGCGTAGCTGCCCCCTTCGCCCATTCCCTTGCCGAGACGCCACGTCCCGCCGCGCCCCGCCACACCCCGCAGCAGTCTACACACACACGCACATGAGCCTTGAGTGCGTAGAACGCATAGTGCAGCGCCCCTCCGAACTCCTGCCCCTCTCGAGAAGTAGCGCGTCGGCAGTCGGCAGTGTGCGCCACTCTTGCTTATCTATCTGTCTTGAGGTCGGGTTCGGGTGGCGCGCCGGGCGGCCGGCCCCGCTTGGAGATGTGGCTGACACGCCGCGTGCCGCAAGGCGCCTTGCCCTAGTACCGAACACAACTTTTACGGGTATTGAGTATTTATGTGATTAGCCACCAAATTGTGCATCCTCGCGTTGAAACAACGAAAATGATATCCAACACAAGTGGTATCGGACATATAAGTGCCCCACCGTCATTGCATACATGTTTAACACAAAACAATGACACGTTAGGATATTCAAAAGTTATACTAAATATGAAATTTTCATGAATTACCATGTGTAAGAAATTTGTCAAAAAAAGAGTTCCGAGTGTTTACTCTTTGAAATAAATTGACAAAATGTCACATTCATCCATTTCAATAAACATTCTCATAAGTATCATCTGCTTTCACGTTAGCGTTAACGTTTTTTTTTTTCGTTACATTGGCTCAAAGCCAGTTTGCCATTGACAAAGAGTCAAAACGCTATTGAATTCAAAAAACATCAATAATCGATGATAATTTAATATTTATAGTGAACAATATTGTACATGGTCACAAAGGAAATCAAGAACCTATATATAGCCCCAATCCGACTGACTGACTGACTCACTCACTCACTCACTCACTCACTCACTCATAGAAATGTTTGGGGCATCTAGGTACAATTAAAGAGGTCATTTCATGGCCCTATACCATAATTTGGAGACTACTCTAAAATCGTTAACGGTTCGTAAATTACGAAGTATTTTCTTCCTAAACTTTTGTATCTGAAAAATACTTGGTCATCACAAGCTAATTTTGGTTGCAAAGCCTGAAATAGCCACTTAAGTTTGCAGAGTGTGCGTCTGTAGGTGCACTGGCAAAATTAAAGCGTAGTATTACCCTCTGTTTTCAAGCGTAATCTGGTTACGCTTGAAATCAAGCGGGTTACGCTTGAAATCAAGCGTAACAGGCTCATCTGCCAACATTCCCCCTATCTTAATACACTGTTAAAATTAATATCCGGAATAAACGACGGATCCTTCGGCAAAAAAATTGCCAACGGTTCCTTCGTTAATTTACGAAGCTCTTCGTATATTTACAAAAACCTTCGTTATTTTTTTGAAAGATCTCTGCTGATTTTCCAATTACAATGGAAATTTACGAAGCACCTTCGTAAATCTACAAAGATCCTTCGTAAATTTACAGGGAACCTTCGTTTATAAACAAAGAAACTTCGTTAATATACAGAGATTCTTCGTAATTATACGTCTGGAATTAACGACGGATCCTTCGGCAAAAAAATTGCCAACACTTCCTTCGTTTATTTACGAAGGTCCGCCGTAGATTTACGAAGACCCGTCGTAGATTAACGAAGCCCGTCGCAAATTTACGAAGCCCTTCGTAAATTTACAACAGATTTTGTAAATTTACGATTTTTCTTCGTAAATTTACAAAGAACCTTCATGAATTAACGACGAACCTACGTTGATTTACAAAAGTTCCTGTAGGAAAGAAACATTTACAGTGCACTTTTGGACATTCGCAAAAACCCTTCGTAAAATAATCCGTCGTAAATTCACAACATATTTTTTACAGTGTACATAGGGGAGTTTCTAGTCTAGGCTTGAATTCAAGCGTAACTTCTTCAAGCGTAACTTTATGCTTGACTCAAGCATAGAGTTACGCTTTAGTTTTACCAGTGTGTGTGTACTAAGTGTGATGTCGATTGAAGTGAATCTGAATCATGTGGCAGGTTGGGGTACGCATCCTGCCGGGCCGCAGCGAGCCGGGTCGCGCAGTGGAGGTGTCGCTGACGGCGCGGCCCAACGCCACGGTGGCGCTGCTGGCCGTGGACCAGAGCGTGCTGCTCCTGAAGCAGGCCAACAACGGCGTGACGGCCGCCGACGCCAACAACGAGCGCCTCAGCTACGAGTCCAAGTCCAAGAGGCCGTGGCTGGGGTCCGGGGCGGAGAGCCTGCTGGGGAAGTGGAGGCGCTGGTGGTGGTACTCCCCGGAGGAGGTGCTGGAGGTCAGTGGGCCGGAAGACCGGTGCACGGTTTGCGCGACTCGTTGAAAAACAAGGACGGGTTTTTAGGGGTTCCCAAGAACCCCTATTGTCCGAGGTCCGTGGATTCCTTCCCCCCCCCCCCTCTCCGATTTTCAAATAAACTGCGCTAAACTATTTCAACCATGGAAAAAACGATAATTCCAATTTTTTTCGATAATTCATCGTGGAAATTTTCCGTAAACTAGAAAAACATAAATTTGCAACAAACGAAAACGAGAACCGTTAATGATATGAAAAAATTGTTCAAATAAACAAGGTAGGTTTACGCCAGACCGCGTCTTGTCGTAACAGGCTTCGCGATGTTTCGCTGCCTGTTCCTCCAATCCGCGCCTGGCGTACCTTCCTTGGCCTGCGGCGCTAGCCTGCCTTCGGCAGGCAATAGCTTGTCCACCGTCGCTTACTTCTAACTTGTTGCATGCGGGGGGGCTCCGCCTCCAGACCCCCCTTCCTTCTAGGTAGAGTTGCTTCATCTACAGATAGCATGATCTTGACCCTTGTAACCTTTGAACTTATCGAGGCTGGGGGGCTCCGCTCCCCAGACCCCCCCATCTTCAAGACAATGGGCATCCTGCCTGCAGAAAACTCGATTTTTCGCCGTTTTTAGGTGTTTTTCGGCTATTAAAACTGAACCAGTTGAGCTACGATGGTGAGATTTCGCGTGTGCCGAGCCAAGGACATGCCTAAAAAGTGTGCAAAATCTCACCGAGATCGGCCGAGCCGTTCAGGAGGAGTAGTGCGGACAGACACACACACACACACACACACAGACAGACAGACAGACAGGAAAAACTTTTCAACCCCACTGGAGTAACAGGCTTCGCTATCGCTCAGCCAAAAATGTGCCACTCCTCAAAACTAAACCTCCTGCCTCATCAAAGTAACAAGAAATCGTCTGTGTGCTGAGCAAATGGTTAAAACATGAAAAAAAAAATCTCCATGGCAACGGCATGGTCCCATCGTACCACCCGTCAAAATTCAAAGCCGCCGATAAAGAAAAATCAAAACGCCGTGAAATTCGAAAATGCTAATGCTAACGCATTGCACGGTGTTCCGACGTTGGAACATCTTTAAAGTCTGTCACCAGTAAAAAGTTCGTAGCAGAAACGACGCATCAAATTAATTTTCGTGGGTTGGCACCGATTTGCTTGCCGTCTGCGCCCTTTTGAAAATCGCGAGGCTGAAAAACCGAGTAGGCGCGCATTGAAACTGCCCCTCCATTGTTGCTGAGGTTGGATTGTTTGGCTTGGCATGCTTTTAAAGGCTGCGGTTGTCTTGTCATGTTTTCCTCAATTCTGTGGAACAGTTCTCACTCACAACGTAAAAACAGCACGATGGTTGGTTTGACAAACTTCATAAACTCGGGAGGGGTGATTTCGGAACGCGGGTGACTTTCGTTTGGCAAACATGAGCACTTTAAGTCGCGAGATGGAGTGAGGTGGTCGTGGTGTTAACTGAATCAGGTTCGACCAGAACTCTTTTCTTTTGGTTAGTTTGAATTTAGCGCATGCGCACTTTGAATTTTTTGGATTTTCTCTTGTTGACACTGGCACGGTCCAATACATGGCTATTTCAAAATAGCCAAATGTGAAAATGGCGTGCCTTGCAATGCGATTAGCATTGGAATTTTTTTTTTAAACAATGAAAGATGGAACACTTCAAAGGGATTCCTTGGAAGCCTGCGCCCATTCCAAGGAGGCTCCCTTGTTTTCCAAGGCCAGTCCCTTGTTTTCTTGGTCAAGTTGTACACTGCACGCACAGTGGGCCGGAAGACCGGTGGAGGTGGTCAGGTTCCCGGAAGCGTTTAGAGCTCCAGTGTTGCTTAGCTGGACTCAAACCGAACGTGTGACCCCATCACTGGATTGCTCTCCTAACGCGCGCTGGTCTGTTTCCTCAGGACGCCGGTGTCGCCTACATGTCGAATGCCAACGTGGTGCGGAGGGAACCACCGCGTAAGTTTATGCGCGAGTCTTATGGAAGACAACGTTAGTTAGCGGCTTCGTTGGCCATATCGAGGGGTCCTTTTACAAAAGATCTTATCTGGACGTTCCCCCCAAGAGAATCTGATCTTAAACGCATTCGAATTTCACTCATTTTGATCATTTGCGGCGGATACGAGAGTAAGCGGATTACATTTCTTCATGCCAGGGAGGAGGAGGGGAGATGAAGCGAGCGCGTTTTGGGCTGTCCGAGGCGTGCACGGGTAGTGCCGAGCGGAGCTGGCCGGGCCGGCCGAGCCGAGCCGGGCGCCGAGCCGAGCGCCGAGCCGAGCGCGACCCGAGCGGCTCGGGCCGAGCCGAGCGCCGGCCGACGAGCAGCCCGACAGCCCATGGCGCGCAGTAAATACATCAATCTAGGAGTAATTTTTACGTGCCGCGTTAATGTTATAGGCCTATACTGGGTGAAAAAGTACGAGGAACACGCCTGTGCAAACGGTTTGATCGCGCGGCGTCTAGTTTGGGTTTCCATAGCCCTCCACTGTGGCCCCCCAGTACCCCCGAGTTGAATGGAGGGCTATGGAAACCCAAACTAGACGCCGCGCGATCAAACCGTTTGCACAGGCGTGTTCCTCGTACTTTTTCACCCAGTATAGGCCTATAACATTAACGCGGCACGTAAAAATTACTCCTAGATTGATGTATTTACTGCGCGCCATGGGCTGTCGGGCTGCTCGCCGGCCGGCGCTCGGCTCGGCCCGAGCCGCTCGGGTCGCGCTCGCCTCGGCGCTCGCCTCGGCGCCCGGCTCGGCTCGGCCAGCTCGGCCCAGCTCCGCTCGGCACTACCCGTGCACGCCTCGGACAGCCCAAAACGCGCTCGCATATCCCCTCCTCCTCCCTGTTCATGCAAATGTTGGTTTGATCTTCTATCTTCAGATTAAAGTGAAAAAAAATCACAAAATATATTGATTCGAAGCTGTACCGTAAACCGAGGTAACTTGAGACAATATTGCACGTTATTTGGACCGTGTGTCCGCAACACTTCTCTCACCAACCCGAATCCCAACTGTGTTTAGTTTCACGTGATAACATACGGTTTGGACCTCATGAAGTTTTTGGGGGTCACCTAAAATGAGAGTAATGGGCCTCTAAAGTTGTCTCAAGTTACCCCGTCATTTGGGGTAACTTGAGACACACCTAGGTTTCACTTTGCTTTTTCACGGAAGTGGGGTTTTTGCCAGTCCATACTGATTTTCTGAGGCATTTAACTTATTTTCAATGAAAAGTACTACTTGTGGAATATATTAGAAGATTTTTGATTCTAATATTAAGATTTTTTCATTAATGTTACATTTGGTAATTTGAGGGATAACGGCACTTCAGAAGCGCAACGATTCTCCCATTTCACATCCAACCCTGTCAACTAAATACAGCGATTCTCTCATTTCACATCAAACCCTCACTGTGGGAAAAATCACAGTAAATCCTGTAGTGATTAGTACAGCTGTCACTGTAGTCCAGAGTACAGGATTTACTGTACCTTTTTTACATGATCCACTGTACTTTGTACGGGATTTACTGTACCACAGGAGTGGAGTGCGGAATATCCTGTACAAGGTACAGTAAATACTGTAGCCAGGCACAGTAAATCCTGTGTTCTGAACTACAGTAAATCCCGGCAAAAAAATTTAACGGGATTCACTGTGGTATTTTCGCACAGTGCTGACACCTGTTAAGACATTTTTCGTTATTTCTACGTACACAAGTCCATTCCTGCAAAGGTATAAACTCTTAGTCAATTTTTAAAATTTGCTCAAAATCTCTTAACTACTTTTACAGTTGTTTTTCTTTAAAAAAAATCGACGGTTCTTGGGCTACTCTACAAATCAAAGAGTGTACATGGTACGCTCTAACTGGAGCATGCCTGCAAGCACGCTCTAACTAGCGCATGCCTGCCAAGCATGCACTTACTAGTGCATACATGCCATGTACACGCTAACTGAAGCATACATTTACTGCATAAGGGATAGGGAGTTTTCTGCATCAGGAAGCGTGTACATGGCATGTATGCACTAGTTAGTGCATGCTTGGCAGGCATGCGCTAGCTAGAGCGTGCTTGCAGGCATGCTCCAGTTAGAGCATACTATGTACACTCTTTGATTTGTAGAGTATAAGTAGTCCGATTTCAATGACACTTAGCTCGTTAGAAAGGTAATTACATTCCCCATCTTTTGAGACTTCAAGATTTATTATGTCTCATCTGGTCCGTGAGTAGTTGAGAAAACACTCCAACTTTAAGGTGCATATCCACTTGGGACCCTCTACACTGTCTAAAAACGTGATTCCCGATCAAATGCGGCTTAGTTTTGATCTTAGAACGGAGAGGTCCGTTACTTTAAACCACCCTGTATTACAAGGAGGTGCCAGCGTCAAGTTACGCCACTCAACTTCCGTCAAATTCATTGAAATTTGGTGTCTCAAGTTACCCCGCACAGTCACCATTTTCTATAAAAGTCAGTATTACCCGATGAATGATGGGTTTCCCTCAAAACCAATGCTACATTTAGAATGTTGAAATAATAGGAATGAAAGACACCATGGTCATTTGGGTCTCAGCAAGACGTGTTTCGAGTACCAAGGGAGACTTGTAACACTTCTCTAAAATTGTTAAATTTACTAAAATTGAAAAATCGTTATAGAACTGACCAGTTTGGTCAAACGCTCAATCGTCTTTCCAAACAAGTATGAAAAAAAGTGCTGGGGCAGTTTTGACCTCCGAATGTGCCGAGCCAGGTGGCAGCTCCAAAAAGGTGGAAAAGCAGAAGTGTCTCAAGTTACCCTTGCTGTCTCAAGTTACCCCGGTTTACGGTATTATACACTGTAAAAAATATGTTGTGAATTTACGACGGATTATTTTACGAAGGGTTTTTGCGAATGTCCAAAAGTGCACTGTAAATGTTTCTTTCCTACAGGAACTTTTGTAAATCAACGTAGGTTCGTCGTTAATTCATGAAGGTTCTTTGTAAATTTACGAAGAAAAATCGTAAATTTACAAAATCTGTTGTAAATTTACGAAGGGCTTCGTAAATTTGCGACGGGCTTCGTTAATCTACGACGAGTCTTCGTAAATCTACGGCGGACCTTCGTAAATAAACGAAGGAAGTGTTGGCAATTTTTTTGCCGAAGGATCCGTCGTTAATTCCAGACGTATAATTACGAAGAATCTCTGTACACTGTTAAAAAAGTTATGAATTTTCAAAGCAATTTTGATGACAATTTTACGAATACGGATATGAATTTTACAAACATTGCAATTTTCATAACTTGATGCGAAAATTCGAAACAATTTCGTAAAATTGACAATTGTTGGTAATTTTAAAACCATGTTCTGAAAATTGCGAATCTTAAATGTTGATTTTGAACACACAATAGTAATTTTACGAATCCGATTGTAAATTTCATAACTAGCTCAGGAGGCGTGGCCAAGGGGCGCTGGTAGAGTCATCAGTAGCTGACCCTCCGCCTCCCGTGGGACGTGGTAGCACAGCGGTAAAGAGCGTGCACCACAAGTCAAAGATCCCGGGTTCGAAACCCGCTGATCAAAAGCAGATTCGGTTCAATAAATGGCATAAGGCCGCTTGGATGTTCATATACATGAACACTTAGTTGTCCTTTTGCTTAACTGCTCTAAAATGACCTCGCAAACGCGAATATGAATTTTCATAACATGACATGAATTTTCATAACGTGATTGTAAAACAATTTACAATCATTTGTGATTTTAATTTTCATAACAATTGTTTGTGAAAAAAAATGCCAACCAATGTTATGAAAATTACAACTGATTTTTTTAACAGTGTATATTAACGAAGTTTCTTTGTTTATAAACGAAGGTTCCCTGTAAATTTACGAAGGATCTTTGTAGATTTACGAAGGTGCTTCGTAAATTTCCATTGTAATTGGAAAATCAGCAGAGATCTTTCAAAAAAATAACGAAGGTTTTTGTAAATATACGAAGAGCTTCGTAAATTAACGAAGGAACCGTTGGCAATTTTTTTGCCGAAGGATCCGTCGTTTATTCCGGATATTAATTTTTACAGTGTATGATCAAACTGAGTGAGATTCGCCTGCGTTTAAGATGAGATTCTCTCGGCAGGGGGGGAGGGGGACGCCCAGATAAGGTCTTCTGAATAGGACCCCTCGATATTGTGCAGAACGTAAGGCCCCTACACGAGGGACGAGGGGTGAATCACTCTTGAACTCGGTGTGCTCACAAGTTTAAAAAGGCGAAATTCTCTAGTTTTTTGACCGATGTAACGTCGAGTGCCGTTAAAAACGCTAAAGAAAGCCTTACAACGTTTAAAATTGTGAAATTCATGAGTAAAGCAAGGTGCACTCACCCGTACTTGTATATACTCATGTGTATACACCAGAACGCTTAGTGATTCACCCCTCGCCCCAATATCGTCAGCGCGCTTGCAAGTGAGTGTCCTTCACGGGGATTAGCAGTGTGCTCCTGTTTGCAGAGGCGCTCTATGCGGTCGACGACATCATCGACATCCGCGCTCCAGGCGCCCCAGGCGCGGCGCCCGGAATGGCGGTGCCTCCCATGGCCGCGTCGGTGGGCTCCGGCGACGCAGGCGGGGCAGCTCCTCCGCCCAGGCTGCGCACGCTCTTCCCGGAGACGTGGCTGTGGGAGAGCTTTAATGCTGGGTAAGTCAGTTCCTCTGGTCATGAGGTGTGCGTGTCGAAGTCTTCCATCTCCGAGCCCCACCTCCGCACTTCCATGACATGAAGAGTCTCACGCCGCTCCGATGTAGTCGAGTCAGACCTCACAATCGTCAAATTTGTATTGTATTTCTTCTGTTATGTTAAGTGACGCACAGATATACACTAAATGCTTATGGACTTTATGGCCGTATTTGTGCATAGTGAAGTTACGTACAAATTTGTACATAAGTTCTGTATGCACAAAAACGGCCATAGCTATGGACAATAAAGTACATAAAACATTTCGTGTGTACATGTTTCATTTTGGCTAGACTTCACTAGGCAAACTATGCCAATTAGTAAGTTAGCTTCGCTGACGGGTTTCCGAGTGCCTGTGCGCTAGGCAACCTAGCGGGCACCGGCGTGCGTTGCGTTGCCGAGCCACGAGCCATTCAGTCGTCCTGATATACAATACTGACCACTACACACTAAACTCTTATGCACTTTTTTTATGCATAGTTACGCATGCACAGATACGTCCATATGTTATGTTTAATATTATGCATCACTGTGTACATTGTACATTTTATGCAGGAAGATGCATAAAAAGTACACAGTGATGCATAATTTTATACATACCTTATGGACGTATCTGCGCATGCATAACTATGCATAAAAATGCATAATTATGCATTCAAAGTCCATAAGAATTTAGTGTGTATAGATCGTATTTTTACTAGGTTAACCTTAAAAATTCAGAGTTAAATAGAAATAGTAAATACAGGCAAATAACGAATACGTTTATAAAATTACGAGTCTATTATGATGGTATTCATGCAAAATAAAGTTCAAAAATACGACTTTTCCTACCTATGTGGTAGTGCATGCAGAGGGGCCAAGTTCCTGGCCGACCAAGGTGCCCAGATTCTGGGCACCTTTATGTCACCTTAGGCGCTTCTGAGCCACGGGTGAAGGTAGGTTCATTAATGGTTTGTCCACTCCGAGACTAGTGACAAAGGTGCCCAGAAACTGGGTGACTTGGCACCCTAAAAAGTGGTGTCAGTGACAAAGGCACCCAGTTTCAGGGCATACCCACTGAAGAGTGTAGGCGTGACAGGTAATTCACGGCCAAGAGCGGCGCGACCAGCGAGTCACGCCGTTATGTGGCTTGATTGTCCCATAGGGATTGGTGCTTACGACGCGTTTTATAGGGAAATTCACGCTGTTTTTCGGCGTGACACTTCATTCATAGACCTACTCAAACGTGTGTATTCCGTTCAAACTCAATTCACCTGTGTCTTTTTTGCCACAAATTTTCATTTTTATTTTAGCGAACAATTAATTTTTACAGCGCTGACGGAAATGTGACCCTCAAGAGAATCGTACCGGACACCATCACGTCGTGGGTCGTGTCCGCCCTGGCCATAGACCCGGTACAGGGGCTGGGACTTAGCGAGCCGACCAAGGTAATTTTACAAACATGGGGTTGAAGAATGAACTATAATTAAGGTGGTTTATCTAAACGCAATTTCAAATGCTGAGGTTGAGGGTAGTCAACGCAACACTGCAAATGCGAAGGCAATACTTAAGTACATTTTTTGGCGATACAATTGAGTATTGCCAATCGGCGATACACAGAAGTATCGCCAACATTTGGCGATACTTTGGAGTACTTCCGAAACCCCGCGGCATTAAACTAAGAACTTGTCCCATTGATTTGTTCAACGTTTACTGCCAAATTGTGGCAATACTCCAAAGTATCGCCAAATTGCAATACTCCAAAGTATCGCCAAATTTTGGCAATCCTTTTGTGTATTGCCGTTTTGAAGGCAATACTTTTCCGTAAGGCCCTTTATTGGCGATACTCAATTGTATCGCCAAAAATGGTATTAAAAGTATCGCCTTTGGATTTACAGTGAACGCACACTAAATTCTTATGGACTTTTTAAATGCATAAGGACGCATTTGTTATGCATAGTTATGCATGCGCAGAAACGTCCATAAGGTATGTATGAAATTATGCATCACTGTGTACATTTTATGCATTTTCCTGCATAAAATGTACACAATGCATAATATTATTCATAACGTATGGACGTATCTGTGCATGCATAACTATGCATAAAACAGTCCATAAGAATTTACTGTGCGCATGATGAGTGCATTACATATCCTCAAAATACCTCCTACAGTTCAAAGTGTGCTGTCGCGTTGCAGCTGACGGTCTTCAGGCCGTTCTTCGCCGCCCTGAACCTCCCCTACTCGGTGATTCGAGGCGAGACAGTGCAGGTGCCTGTCATCGTCTTCAACTACATGGACCAGGACACCACGGCCACGGTGACGCTGCACAACGAGCTCGGGGAGTTCGAGTTCGCCGGCAACGCGACCGGTAAGGTTTTGGACTGCACGGACTGCACAAAACGAGAGCACGGAGATACAGTAAGTGATACACACTAAATTCTTATGGACTTTTTGGCCCGTCCTGTTTATTTTTTGTAAAAAAAAAAATGACGGAGGGACGGGCATCCCTGCTGTGCGTCCGTCCATCCGTCCGTTCGTCCGAGGACTTCCCGTGGTCCGATCTTGACCAAATTTGGTATGCAGCCTCCTTGGGTGACCCTAAGAACCGCCCGGTGGCAGCAAATCCGATCCGAGCCCCGGGGGCGCTGCTGCAGGTGCATCATGGTGTACATGGGGTCGAGGAGGATTTCGGCAACGGATACAGCTAGCAGGGCATGTAGGGGTATTTTTGGAATCGGGGCGACGAGAAAAAACCAACGGTGCCAGTTACAAGCGAATCGGAGAAGTTTGGACCCGGGTTCAAATCCCAGTGGGGTATATTTTGAACATTCTTTTTATTCGCGTTTTTGCATTGTTTCTTCTGTTTTTGAGGGCGCTGATGACGAAAATAACATTTATTTTGACCCCAGACTCAGGACCGAATCCGTCAGGGGTAAACAAAGGTGAAATTCACACATTTGTCAATGTACGGGACGGGCCAAAGTTGCCGATGTATATCGCTACTTTTCCTGTTATTAAATGCATAATTATGCATTTTTATGCATAGTTATGCATGCGCAGATACGTCCATAAGGTATGTATAAAATTATGCATAACTGTGTACATTTTATGCATCTTCCTGCATAAAATGTACAATGTACACAGTGATGCATAATATTATACATAACATATGGACATGCATAACTATGCATAAAAAAGTCCATAAGAGTTTAGTGTGTAGTTTTACGTGCACTCTCAGCCTTTTACTGACTTTTTCTCATTAGCTTACGCATTTCTGTAAGCAACCATAATACTTAGTATTTTTTGTCAGTATTACTTGGTAATTGCTAATTCCTGTACTGATATTACCGTTTTCTTAGTAAATTACAAAGAAATTTTTATGTATTTAAGAACTAAATACCAAGTATTATGGTTGCTTACAGAAATACGTCTGCTAATGAGAAATAGTCAGTAAACGGCTGAGGGTGTGTCCTGTAGACTATACATTCTACTACAAGGTAGGTTTACGCCAGACCGTGTCTTGTCGTAGCAGGCTTCGCGGATGCTGCGCCAGTTTCGACGATCCACGCCTGGCGTATACACCTACCTTGGCCTGCGGCGCTAGCCTGCTTTCGGTAGGCTGCTAACCTTAACAAGCCCTAGAATTGGGCGTGATCCCCTAAAAACAGAACAGATTTTGGTCATCAAATTTACACCAATTGGACTGAACTTTGGGTCGGGGGTCCGAATTTTTTCTATTTTCGTCATCAGCAGCCTCAAAAACATAGAAAACGACATGAAACTTGGCAAAAAGTTGGAAGTACCAAAACAGTTGTCTTTTTTCTGCCGTTTTATAAGTGTTTTTGGCCAATTTGACCGAATGGATTGAGGTCGAAAGCTGAATTTTGGTGTGTGGCGAGCCTAGAACATACTTAATGACCCTGCAAAATCTCAGCTGAATCGGTTGACTCGCTCAGGAGTAGTGCGGAGCGGACACACACACACACGCCGCGCCGGTCTTATGGCCCACTGTGCGACGACTCGAATACTCTACTTGCCACTTGAAGCCCTTGTCTTCGAGTGAGGTGTCTGTTTCTAGGGGGCCGGGTTCGCCGTGAGGGCGCCGGGAGCCAAACGCGACAGGTGACCGTGCCGCGGCAGGGTGCCGCCTCCGCGACCTTCGACATCACCCCCAAGAAAGTGGGCCACGTGGCGCTCAAGGTCACTGCCGTGGGGGACAAGGCCGGCGATGCCGTGGAGCGGCCCCTCAAGGTCAAGGTAAGAGAGAGAGAGAGAGAGAGAGAGAGAGAGAGAGAGAGAGAGAGAGAGAGAGAGAGAGAGAGAGAGAGAGACTTCTTCTGGACCGAAGGCGATTTCTAGGGCCCTATAGGCCGTCCTGGGACAAGTGCCGCAGGGTCAGTCCTGGAAATTTGACCCAATGTACAGATGCTGTTCAGGAAACACATCAGGACTCGGAAATGCGTAAAGAGCCTTGGGAATCCCAATTCACTATAAATCCAAAGGCAATACTTTTAGTACCTTTTTTGGCGATACAATTGAGTATCGCCAATAAACGGCCTTACGGAAAAGTATTGCCTTCAAAACGGCGATACACAAAAGTATCGCCAAAATTTGGCCATAGGGAGTTTTGCCACGATTTGGCAATAAACGTCGAACAAACCAAGGGGACAAGACCTTGGTTTAATGCCGTGGTTTTGGCATTATCCAAAAGTATTGCCAAATTTCGGCGATACTTTCTTGTATCGCCGTTCTGAAGGCATTACTTTTCCGTACGGCCGTTTATTGGCGATACTCATTTGTATCGCCAAAAATGTACTTTAGTATCGCCGTTGCGTTTGCAGTGAAAGGACAGATAAACAGTGTAAGGTCGGAGAACACTTTTGCAGCCGATTTCGGTGGTTTTTCTATAACTTTTTATTTATCGCTTTTCTCTTATCGCCCTTTTGTTTCCAGGCGGAGGGAGAAACTCAGTACCGCAACAAGGCCGTCCCAGTGTCCCTCGGCAAAGAGAAGACATTCAAGGCGATCGTTCCCCTCGAGTTTCCCGAGAACACGGTGCCCGACTCCGAAACCGTGGAGGTGTCTGCCATCGGTAAGAAGCTAACTTTTCCCCTTGTTTCTATCGTGTAGGTTATGAGAGAGAGCCTTGATTGTTTGAGGCACCTTCAAGATGTGATTGGCTGAGCGATAGCGAAGCCCGTTACTCCAGTGGGGTTAAACAAGGTAGGTTTACGCCAGACCGCGTCTTGTCGTAACAGGCTTCGCGATGTCTCGCTGCCTGTTTCTCCAATCCGCGCCTGGCGTACCTACCTTGGCCTGCGGCGCTAGGCTGCCTTCGGCAGACAATGCTTGTCCATTATCAGTTATTTCTGAACTGTTGCATGCTGGGGGGCTCAGCCCCCCAGACCCCCCTTCATTCTAGATAGAGGTGCTTCATCTACAAATTACACGATCTTGACCCTTGTAACTTTTCAACTTGTCGAGGCTGGGAGGCTCCGCCCCCCAGACTCCCCTTTTATCCAGACAGGAGAGGTCTACCGACAGAAAACTCGATTTTTCGCCGTTTTTTAGGTGTTTTTCGGCTATAAAAACTGAACCAGTAGAGCTAGGATGGTGAAATTTCGCGTGTGCCGAGCCAAAAACATACCTAATAAGCCTGCAAAATCTCAGCCAGATCGGCCGAGCCGTTCAGAAGGAGTAGTGTACACACACACGCAGACAGACACACACACAGACAGACAAAACTTTTCAACCGCACTGGAGTAACAGGCTTCGCTATCGCTCAGCCAAAAACTTTTTCTGTCTGTGTGCGTGTGTGTGTCTGTGTGCACTACTCCTACTGAACGGCTCGGCCGATCTGGCTGAGATTTTGCAGGCTCATTAGGTATGTTCGTGGGTCGGCACACGCGAAATTTCACTATCCTAGCTCACGTTGTTCAGTTTTTGGCTGAGCGATAGCGAAGCCCGTTACTCCAGTGCGGTTGAAAAGTTTTGTCTTGTCTGTCTGTCTGTCTGTCTGTCTGTCTGTGTACACTACTCCTCCTGAACGGCTCGGCCGATCTGGCTGAGACTTTGCAGGCTTATTAGGTATGTTCTTGGCTCGGCACACGCGAAATTTCACTATCCTAGCCCAACTGGTTCAGTTTTTATAGCCGAAAAACACCTAAAAAACGGCGAAAAATCGAGTTTTCTGCAGGTAGATCACCTCTGTCTTGAAGAGAGGGGGTTCTGGGGGGCGGAGCCGCCCAGCTTCGACAAGTTAAAAAGTGACAAGGGTCAAGATCGTGTTGTCTGTAGATGAAGCAACTCTATCTAGAATTAAGGGGGGTCTGGGGGGCGGGGCCCCCCAGCATGCAACACGTAAGAAGTAACCGACGATGGACAAGCCAATGCCTGCCGAAGGCAGGCTAGCGCCGCAGGCCAAGGTAGGTACGCCAGGCGCGGATTGGAGGAACAGGCCGCGAGACATCGCGAAGCCTGTTACGACAAGACGCGGTCTGGCGTAAACCTACCTTGTTATAGCCGAAAACGGCCGAAAAACACCTGAAAAACGGCGAAAAATCGAGTCTTCTGCAGGCAGATCACTTCTGTCTTGAAGAAAGGGGGGTCTGGGGGGCTGGCCCCCCAGCCCCGACAAGTTAAAAAGTTACAAGGGTCAAGATCGTGTTATCTGTAGATGAAGCAACTCTATCTAGAATGAAGGGGGGTCTGGGGGGCCAGCATGCAACAAGTAAGAAAAACGGACGATGGACAAGCCAATGCCTGCCGAAGGCAGGCTAGCGCCGCAGGCCAAGGTAGGTACGCCAGGTGCGGATTGGAGGAACAGGCCGCGAGACATTGCGAAGCCTGTTACGACAAGACACGGTCTGGCGTAAACCTACCTTGTTATTTTCGTCTGAAAGTTCATCTGCTTAGAAAACTTTTTCGTCGTGAACGAAGCTGTCCATAACATTTAGTGTGCATGGACTCGGTAAGAGCTTCAGAACTGCTCAGGGAGGAGGAGGGGAGATGAAGCGAGCGCGTTTTGGGCTGTCCGAGGCGTGCACGGGTAGTGCCGAGCGGAGCTGGGCCGAGCTGGCCGAGCCGAGCCGGGCGCCGAGGCGAGCGCCGAGCCGAGCTCGGGTCGCGCTCGGCTCGGCGCTCGGCTCGGCGCCCGGCTCGGCTCGGCCGGCCCGGCCAGCTCCGCTCGGCACTACCCGTGCACGCCTCGGACAGCCCAAAACGCGCTCGCTTCATCTCCCCTCCTCCTCCCGGGAACTGCTGTTATTCTCGGGATATGACGATAAAATTTTGGTCAATCTTGGAATTTCTTTACATTTTGTCTCCCCCGACGTAAAGGCCTCCATGCACATGAATGAAATATTATGGTACGTTGCAGGTGACGTTCTCGGACCCAGCACAGCCAACCTGGACACACTCATCAGGATGCCTTTCGGGTGTGGTGAGCAGAATATGCTCAACTTCGTTCCCAACATCGTCATCATGAAGTACCTGAATGTAAGTTTTTTAGTTACGTGTTGTACTTGATTAAATAACGCACAATGTAACGTTTGCCTGAAAGCAAATGCCGCGTAAGGGAAGGTGGGGCACCATGTGACGGTTTTTGCTGAAGTGCCCGTCAACCCAATAATACCAATCACATTTAATCCATAGTCATGTGAACAAAATGATTCTTCATCTTTAAACAATGTGCCCTACTTTGACAGCACACGAACAAGCTGAGCCCCGCCCTGGAGCGCACGGCGCGCTCCTTCACGGAGACGGGTTACCAGAAGGAGATGACGTACCGGCACAAGGACGGCTCTTTCAGCGCGTTCGGTGAAAAGGACCGCAACGGCAGCACATGGTAGGAGGCACAGTGCACAGTGGGCCACAAGACCGGTGGAGGCGGCCAAAATTCCAGACGCGTTTTGGGCTCCAGAGTCGCTTAAAAGGACTAGAACTGAACGTGTGACCCCCACCAATGGATTGCTCTCCGAGTCACTCTCAGACCTTAAATTTACTCTACGGCTTAGTGATTTTAGAGCGTTACTATGATATAGTATATATTTTCAATAACATATCGAATAAATTTTACATGAGAGATAGATAGCGGTAGACAATCTTTTACTTAGTTACAGAAAATCTACAATGTCAGTAGAAATATGATGACAAATTTGTTTATATTCAAAGAATTAATTTTCTGCAAATGTAAGGTAAAAAATCAATTGTGGGTCACGAATCAATTGTGGGTCATTTTTTTCGACGGGTCACCGCAGACCCGACGGAGATTGAATCGATTTGAATTTCGTGGTAGACCTTCCTCCAACCTTTCTTCGTCTTCCCAAATAGCGTGTATGTCCGAGCGACGACTGTAACGGCTCCTATCAGGCTTCAAAGGAAGGCCCTTCAAAATGTCGTGAAAATAGCGCCCATCCAACGAGGCGAAAAATCGCATGTTTTTCAAATTGCCACCGTGAAGCTATTACGAGATAAAACGGGACGCCCTTGCTGATTTTGGTTCATAGTAGGTCAGGGAACATAATTTTACCATAGAACAGCCGAAATCATTCGATGCCATGGTGCGCGGGTGATGGCAAAGTAGCGTTCGCTTCCATGTCAGAACCATTATTTTAAACGAATTTTCCGGTAGTTTTTCTGCTATTTTTTCTGTTTTCTGCGCTTCTGAATGACTGATGTATCACAGTAAATTCCATTTTTCTGCTCAGTCACATTTAGTATTACGATACGAAGGTTATGTTAAGCTACAGCCCCGAATGACAACACTAGCTTATACTTCCAGTCTGCCATCAGGCTTTTTTGTTGGGGAGGGAGGGGGCGCATTTCGGGGCTTACATAGCTCTCGGAAGGGAACCGCTCTCCAACTGCGGGCTAGGCACCCGAGGCCAGTCCGGCCCTGTTATAAGGATTCAAATCAATCCCTACAGACTATATATTCTGACTGAAATAGATAATAAACTGTAGCAATACCTCATGATGACAGGGTGTGGTGTTGGATTGTCTACCACACCGGCGGCCCTACAATACGCACTATAAAAGTTTCGCGTCTAATCCAGGACGTTTAACTCACATCTGTCTCACAGTGAAATTAGCCTGTTTATGTATTTTTCCTCTTTGAGTGAAAAACGTGCCTGCTTGGTTTATTGAGAACCAGGGACCTTTAATAAATGAAGATAAGAAAATATCTTGCAAAAGTGGTCAATTTACAAGCAAAAAGACGAAATGGCCCACAATTGATATGACCCACAATTGATTCATTGTGCTACAGATCCTGCAGTTTTCACGATTCCGAAAAATAAATTCAGAAGTGAATTTCTCTCGTATTTAAGCAAATCATATCCAAATTTGAGCTTCCTACAATGCTGACCCACAACTGGTTCCAAAAATCAATTGTGGGCCAAAACAGACTACTTTTAAAACAGCCACAGCTTAGTAAATAAGGATGATAGACAGGGCTACTATGCTGCAAAACTTAGGCCAAGGACCATAGTTAAAGGCCGCACATGCACTTTTGTCACCAGGTCAGAATTAAAGGCCTTAATTTGGAATTTTCAAAAATGTGACCCACAATTGATTTTTCACCTTAGGAGACAAAGTTTGTCCTCACCACGAGACTAGGGGTAATGGACTCGCAACGGAGCTGGCCGGAATCTCTGCCTTGCTAATTGTAGTTCACTATTCCTCCGACTAAATATGCGATTGTTGAGATGGCTCGGGCATTTTTGGAAAGAGGACATCTTAAAGTATGCCTTAAATTCAAAAAAGTTTCAATTTTCCCACCAGGGCTCGAACAGGAACAGCTTCGCCGTTGCGCTACTCAAATGCGCAGGGCGACGGGCATGGTGCCAGGGGCGTGAACAATCTCTACACGCTTAAAACCTTTGGAGTATATTGTGAGGGTGCGGGTTTGGGGGGGAGGTTTCCGAAGAGAGAGTAGGAGGTATGGCTAATAAACTCAGGGTTTATTCAGGTACACAGAACAATCAGTAAGCATTCAGAACAAGTACAAGGACAGTACGCGGGGCGAAGGTCTGAGAGACGCGACGCGTGGACGAGTGAGACAGAGGACGACTTGTCGCTGCTGCTGCTGGACTCAGAGTGACGAGCTGCTTGGCCGCGGGCAGCGGCCCGGGCTTTCGGCTTCGGCTCCGCGGGCCCGGCGAAGGACTTCGGGTGTCGCTTCGGGAGGAGCCCGGCGGACCGCTTCGGGTCCCGATCGGAGCTCGATCGGGTCGCCGTTCGGAGCGCTGCAGCGTGGCAGTAGCAGCGCTGTACACTGCTAACGCTCGGAGTATCGCCGCCGCGCGCTAGTTGGCCTGCTGGCCGAGCGCGGGGTATCTCCATCGTGAATAAGTGTGGGTTCTGACTTAGTGCACAGAAAGGGTGGTGGAGGGCTGCAAAGCCGTATCACCACATTACCCCTTCCTTCTCCGGGAAAACAGGCGGGTGGGCCTGGGCCTTCCAGCTGTCCTTCGGACGCGCTGGAGTCATCCGGCTGTCTGCTAGACACGCCGAGACGATAACGCCTCTGTCGAGACCTGTCAGTGCTGACACGGTTTCAACGAGTGTTGTAAGCCTAGCGTTTGCGGTTGGTTGCAGAACGCAGTCATGCTGAGCTTGTAGCAAGTAAGCTAGCAGACAGGTGCAAAGATCGAGCACCGCTCCCCATTCGGGCTAGCCTTAGCTAGGTCGAGAGAAAACCACCCAAAACTCTCAGACGAGCCTCGGAGGCACTAATCAGATGGGAAGTTGACTGGTAGAAGTTGGCAGGATGCAGCCGGTAGGATGACAGTTTGGTCGTTGCGTGGAACTTGAAGTGGCAGCTGGCTGCATGGTGAGCGGGCGAGGGAAGGCTTGAGTAACCGCAGAACTTCTGGCGTAGATTCTCGGAGAGCCGGGGACGATGGTAAAATTGAAGCAGCTGACCTAGAACAGTTCGTACTGGTAAAAGGGCTTTTGTTGTTACGAGATGGTTCACTTTGGGGAGAAATGACTGGAATTTAGACGGAGAAGCTTTAATTTTAGCAGAGTGGAATGGTGAATCGGAATTGAGCAAGTCTTTGCAAGACTGATTACTGGAGGCTTTCCAAATTAGTGGGAGCGTTAAACGTTAAAGAAGTTGAGGTTAAAATTGAAAGACGGAGTGGTCTGTTAACACAAGTTTGGGTTTAATTTAAATTTTAAAAGGGGAACAGTTGGGGTGTTGACTGGTTGGCTGGTGATTAACCAGGCTGTAATTAGGAGGTTAATGCAAGGCTAGGTAAAGGCACAACACTGAACTTAAACTTGAATTTAGGATTAAATTTACTGCAAGGGTAATCAGAAAAATTAGAAAGAAAACTTAACTTTTGTTTGGGGTTTGTTGTCCGCGCTGTGGGTTTGAGGAGTCAAGCAACGGTGTCTATTCTCGCAGAGTTCGACGTGCAGTCCGTAGAACCTCGGCCGTCCTGGTGGCGTCGCGGGTCGTCCGGGGGCGTGGGATCGAATCTGGAGTGGAGCGCGTTGTTTTCCTGATGCATCCGTCATCCACGGGGCTGGAACTGCGGCTTGTCGTCTGGCGCTGGTTCGAATCTTGGCGAGGCGCGTTGATCCAGTGGTGAAATCGCTGTCCAAGGACTCGCGATGCAGATTCTTCTTTCGCTTTCGGGCTCGTCGTCTGCTTGTTTGTTGACAGCGTGGCCGTCCTGCGAATAGGGAGGCTGCTTTCGATTGTGCGCTGCGCGCGGTGATGTTGGCAGCCTTCGCGACTCGGTCTGTCATTGGCTGACGCGGCGCGAGTGCTGATAGCGCTTGCGGAGGGCGAATAAGCTCTTGTTGGTGTTAGCACGACTGTTGTGGTGATTTTGGCGGTTGGAGATTTGTTCGTTAAGGGGTTTTCGAAATAAATCTGAGCTTTGCACAACCTGGCTATGCGCCGCGGTGTTAGCGTTTAGCTCGTACTTTCCAAATTCATTCAAAAGCAGTGCATTCACTGCTACCTTCTCCACCCTTTGTTTGGAAAAAATGAACGTGGCGGCCCTTTGCAGTGTAGTTGCATCTGCCATCGGCGCGTCTTGCGCCTGTGTCCTGGCACACGGCGGGCATGGTGTTGAGGGTGTTGATGTGCAAGCGAGTAGTCAGCGTGCGGATGGCTTGGTGACGGGGTTATCGCGTTGCTAAGGCTGGTGCGGCCGGGGTGGGGCCCGCGGACTTGGCTCTGTGACGGGGTCATCGTGGCGCTGGGGCCCGCGAACTTGGCTTCGTGGCGCTGGAGCCGGGGCGGCTTGGACGGGATCCGCGAGCTTTGTTTCCTGACGTGGTCATCGTGGCACTGGGGCCTGGCTGCAGGAGCGGGGCCCGCGGATTCGGCTTGGCCTGCTGTTGGGGCCGCGTGCGTGTGGGCGTGCAGGTGTTCGCCGCGGCTCGGGTCTGGACGGCGGGGCCGCCGTTGTAGGTGATGTTCGCGGTGGTCTTGGCGTCGCGCGTGACGGCGGTTGTGACTGCGGCGTGAGGGACTTGGTGGCTTCCGCTGGCGTCTGCCTCGGGGGGTGACTGACGGCGACGGCGTGGTGGGGTCCAGGTTGACGGACTTGGTTGCCTCCGCTGGCTTTGCCTCGCGGGGTAACTTAGGGCGTGGTGGGGTCCGGTTTGACGGACTTGGTTGCCTCCGCTGGCTTTGCCCCGCGGGGTGACTTCGGGGCGCGTGCTTGGTAGCGCCGCGCAGGGAAAAGCTGTGGCCTTGGGGAATGGCCTTGAGATGAGCTGTGCCTTGGGTCATTCAGATTGCTGGTCATGTTCATGACGCGGCTGTTCACGTTCATGCCGATGTTCGCGTAGTGGGCCGGTGGGGCTTGGGATGAAGAGCGC